TGTTGGCCATTGTAGATCTCCTCGAACGCATAACCTCGCCTTATGCTTTAGAAGATAGCCCTCAGGATCTAGTTTGTAGGCAAAGACCCATTTGAGTGGTAGCACCTGCTGTTCCTGAGGTGTTTGCACTTCTTGCCAGCTTTCATTACGTTGTAGTTGATCCATTTCGGCTTATGCTGCAGCGATGAAGCCCTGTGCTTCTGGATGTTTGAGCATTTGGTGCCAGCTTTTTGGCGGTGGCTCGAGCTGCGTCCCATGTTTCCTAATTGATATCGCTGAGGCGGCTGCAAATGCTTGTCGTATGCCTGAGTCAAACTTTAGGTGCTTAAGTGAATAGCTATGCCTATAAGCTCTGCTATCCAACTCATCAATTGAGCGCTTGACTGATCGAGAAAAGCTAGAAGAGCATTGGCGAAACCTTTAAATACATCCGGAGGGACCTAGAGACAGCGAAGACAAATACACAAGCAGTGGCAACAGCGGATAAAGAGGCGAAGGCGGCGGCGATAGAGGCAGTCGACATAAGCAAGATGGTAATGGGATTGGCAAGGGACATCAGAAAGGGAACGCAGCAGCAGGTAAGGGAACGCAGCAGCAGATCGCGGCAAGTTATGCCGCTGTGGCCGCACAGGGTGCGATGGCAACCAGTATACACACCCCACAAATACGAGACCACCTGCTCAAACACAACGTGAGATCATCGTGAAATTCAGAAGTTCACAAACCATCCAGCACCTGCGAAACATGAACCCACGTAAACCTGAAAGCCCACGTTGAGCAAGCCGTCGCCCAGAGCGGAGGGACCATCGCAAAAGTCATGTCTGTCAACCAACTCATGAGCGGAGACATCAGAATAAAAACGATCACACCAAACGAAATGCAGACACTTAGGCTATCCGCCCAGGAATGTGTATAACCTCCCACAAACCTCGGAGAGACGCGAGAGCGCGCTGCCGACGGTGCAAGAGGTCTGCCAGGGAAATAACGCGGAAGAGGCCGAAGAGCAGATAATGCTAGGAGACTTCAACCTCAACCACCCGGTGTGGGGCGGTAAAAAAGAACATAAGCACGAAGAAGAAGCGGAGGAGCTGCTGGACATTATGCAGAACACAGGTATGACGAACATGCTCCGCTCAGGAACGATCACGTACGAAGAGGGAGAAAAGAGGTCGACGATCGAGCTCTGCTGGATGTCCGCAGGATTAACAGATCGGCTCATCCGGTGCGAGGCAGACAGAGACATGGAACACGACTCTGATCACCTATCGATCAGCATATTCATGGACCTGAGAGTCCAACATGGGGAGAGGAAAGCCGTGAGGTAATAGAATCATCTAGAGGAAGAAAGGTTCCGGAAGGCGCTCGCGCAGATACTGCCTCAAATACAGTGGCTAAGAACCAAGATGGCCTTGAATTGGTACACCAAAGAGATTGCAAACGCGATCGGCGAGACTTCGAACAAAGTCCTCCCCAAAATGCACCCGTCATGACAGGTAAGAGAGGGATGGAACACGGAATGCGAGGAGATACTGGCTGAAACAAAACGACTCAAGCGAATCCACAATATAGATCGCACAGAAGAGTCGTGAGAAGCGTATAAAACCGCACGGAACCTGAAGACCAGAACGATCAAGAAGGCTATTAAGGTGGCGCCTAGAGACAGGGTAGGGATGGCCTCGCCACTCCTGAGTATCTTTGGAAGGCAAATAGGCGAGGACGAAGGAGAACCAGTCCCCAAGCGTCACACCAGCGATTCGATGCCCTGACACAGGGCGGGAGGTCACAGGCACCGAGGAGAAGGTACAGATTTTCCGAGGAGTCGTCTTCCCAACGCCGCAGGAGGCAGATCTAGACTACACCCGAAATGCACAGTACGACCAGCAGATAAACCTACCAGAGATCACGGAGAAGAAGGTTACTGAGACCATAACGACCACCGCTCCGCTGAAAGCGGCGGGCACAGACGGAATAGCGAATCGGGCGTTGCAGGCAGGGGCCATACTGCTCACAAAGCACCGCGACAACATCTTCAATCAGAGCCTCAACATAGGCTACTACCCGGGGCACTTCCGAACATCCACTACAGTAGTACTCAGAAAGCCCGGTAAGGACAACTATATAGTGCCAAAAGCATATCGGCCTCTCGCGTCACTCAATACGATAGGGAAGGTGATGGACGCAGTCATCGCCAGGAGGCTGAGCTACCTGGTAGATACCTAGCAGACGATACCACCCCAATATATGGGCGGGAGACGGCTCCCATCTAGGACCACGCCCTCGATTCTATTATAGAAAAGATATATGAAGCATGGAATAAAGGGGACGTGGCCAAGCTACTGCTCCTGGACATGTCCGCGGCATTCAACAATATCTCCCATAAAAGGCTCGTACACGTGCCTCAGGAAGTGACGTGTAGATGAGCGGATTGTCGTCTGGATAGCCAGCCTCCTGGCAGACAGACGCACGAAAATCACGATGGACAGCTTCGAGTCGGAGGAATACGCGATACAGACTGGAATCCCCTAGGGATCACCACTCTTACCTATCCTCTATATCCTCTACAATTCGAACCTGATAGAAAAATGTAATATAGAAGCATCTACTATAGGATATATTGATGACGCAGCAATGCTCGCCTGCGGGCCCATTACGGTAGGGACCACTTTGAAGCTGGAGAGGGCGATGCAGAGAGCGCAACGCTGGTCTGCCACCCACGCTTCGAAGTTCGTGGGAGTGACGGTGCCTAGCGCCATCGGCAGGGGCTGCTAAGTGTCGATTTTCTTCCTAGTCCTTGTAAAATGGACCAGTTGGAATTTCTCCGGAGCGAAGACGTGCAAATACCTAGGTGTCACCCTGGACAGCAGGGTCGAATGGGGAGAGCACATCGCGGAGATCGAGCACAAGGCAGCCAAGACGGTGAACGCCATAGGGGCCTTCGGCAGCTCGACGTGGGGCATCGACCTCGCAAGTATGCGGAAAATCTACCATGGGGCAGATGTAGACAGGAATGAGAGCAAATAAATGTGGCAGATCGACTGGGCGCAGGAGAGCAAAGGTAGGGCGACATGCCACCACAACCCGACGCCATCCAAGCGCATCACGGCTGGCTATGTCCGAGTTAACGGTGGTGCTTCGTTGGTTAAATTAAAGTTAAACGAGGGTTTTGATCTAGAGAGCTGGTCCCTAAAACAAGAATGATGACTGGGCTCGAAGGCCGTGAAATGCATGGGTTCTTAGGCCATGCACAAGCCCAAACGTGCGTAGAACATTGTATCTGCGTGGCCAAAAGGCTCTTCTTCGTCTCGCGTACAGTCTGAAAAATGCTAGGAAGCGAACAGGTTGTGCGTTTTGCGGTGAAAGTGTAAATGGTGTTTGACAATATATTTTTAAGTGTGCAAACTACGGTTGAACAAGCGTCGGGATAGCGTAGGTGATCCACAACAACCCAGCTCAAGCAAATCAAGCTAACCAATTCCAACAGTCAGTTGGGAGAGCGTAGCACTGAAGATGCTAAGGTCATGTGTTGTGCGTAATCACCTCCAAAGAATGTGGTTAGCTTCAAGCTAACAGTCATCCAGCAATCCACATTCACGACAACCTTCTTTTTGGGTCTTTTTTTGTCCCTGTCTTCCTTTTTTGCGGAGCAGAATCCACTGTACCATCCACCTTTGTGATGTACACAGCGCACTCTCAAGCTACACCAAGACCCTAAGCAAAAGAGAAAGCGCGCTCCTGGTACAAACGAGGACCGAGAAAATCGGCCTCCGCCACTTCCTATCCAGCAGGAAAGTATCCGGATACCAGGACGCGACATACAAGTGCCTCCAGGGCCCGCAAACTGTTATGCATGTCCTGCTGCGATGCAAGACACTCAAGCACGAGAGGAACCGGCACTTCGAAGGGCTCCCGGGACGGAATAACCTCAGGACCATCCTGAGTAAACGCGATTTAGCCATTCAAGCTATCGGACTTATGGAACACGCCCTTACGGGGAGGGTGAACGGAGAGGCGTTAACAGACAATACGGAGCATTGAGGGGATTGAGGTACACAGGATGCACCACAGAGGCCGCAAGCCTCCAGGAGCCGAATATTACAGAGTGTGTTGGCAGATTAACCAGCATAATACAGGCGGTAACAGCCGACTGAAGATGATGGTGACGGAAAGCAGATGAGGGGCGTACGGGGCGGCTGGCCCTCTTTATACAGTAAGGCGAAGTGGGACGCCCTAGGCCTAGCCCGGCACGTATCGGCCGCTGGCCAACCGTCATGAGGCCCATGATCCACCGACTTTCAACAATATAATTTATGGTGGATCTGGATCATGTTATCCTCCGCCGGGCATAGCCACACGATAAAATAGTGGCTGAAGCCGTGTAGGAATCAAACAATCAAACACGTACAAACGTTGCCCGTATCCAAGTAGTTCCGTGGCACAGGGTGGTGGTGTAGTGCGTCGTCCATGCCACTGCAGCAGAATGTTTCATCATCCTATACCTTATTTAATATAGTGTTGTGAAGTTATGGCTCCGAATGGTGCGTGGAATGGGGCGAACAGGCCACTCGCTTGTTCTATAGAACTAATGAACATCAACGTGTATCGAAAATTCGTCACGGAAGACCCTCCCCGTTTTCCGTTGGCAGCTGTACATCGGAATGTTCGAATCAAGATTTTGCAGCACTCGCAAGGAGGGGCCATGTTTGTACAGGCAGTCTGATGTTCGAAGCTGGATCGGGAGGGAAGAAACGACCTTCTGCTAACCACGGCCGACGTCGGACAACATACGTAAAGAGGTGGATGTGACCCGATGACATGCTCAAGTCAGGTACTTGTTCATGAGAGGCACGAACGGCTCAGAGGACGTCATTCATTTAGCAGATAAAGAGTGTTTTGTATTTCGGACGCTGCGGGGTTGAGCAACGACACGAGCGACACGATGGATTGCCTAGTCTACGTGCAGTGCTTGACAAGAATCATCGCAATGCCCGTCTTCGCGTCTCGATTTGTGACTGCTCTTTGTATGAAAGTTCCGATTAGCATGATCATATGCATAAAATGACAGCGATCGCACCTTGACACTTTACATGCCCTCCTTAGTATTAGTTATGTTGACTTTGGACATGGATGTCACCGGCACGTTCGTACCATTGTGTTTTGAAGAATCAAAGCGAACCTAGCGTCTGCCTGTTTATTGAAAGGATTTCCCAGTCTTGCTAAATTCCCGTCCACTGCACCTGAACATGTTCTTGGATATTGCTACTCCCCATGGAATTGTTTTTGATTTTCGCCCAGGCGGCCGTACATTGTTTGAATTGTAGTCGATCTTCTCCTCAATCCAATTCAAATAAAGTCTCTATGATCTAACATCCCTTTCACAGACCGTTCATCCTCAGGTCGCTTTGCGAAGATGCTCAGATCTGGAATTCCGTAAAATGAACGACTTGACAATTTACTATTTTGACTGCTCAGTTCGTTCTCGATGTAAGTTTTCCATGAACGTATGGGAGTTCGGTTATCAGCTGATCAGCTCTTGAAGGATTGCTATGGTCTTAAGGAATGCTGATATGACGCGACATGACGAGAAATCAAGCTTAATCAGATATAGAAGCTCGTGTAATTTCTATTCCCACTGGATGTAACTTGGCTCTCTCGTCGTTCCAAAGTCCTGTTCAGGAGTCGAAACCAAACTTTGAATCAGTCGAGCAACCAGCAGCTTAACGGGGGAAAAAAATTGACGTTATCCGCTCTGTTCAAACACACGAAAACGCACACAAGGGGCTAGATATGGGAGTCTCTAGTTCCATTCCTACATGTTCAAAAACCTAGTCGAGTTACGTGACAGTTTTTTTTTTTTTTTTTTTTTTTTTTTTTTTTTTTTTTTTTTGCAATATGAAATAAATGTTCCGAGGCTGTAGCAACACCTTTACAGGAAAAACTTTGTGTAAAAACGTTAAAAATGGAAAGCCTCGAGCAATCAGCCGAGGGCGGGTATGAACAAGGACAAGCAGGCTTGTAAATAGGAGAAAATGAGCTTTCCATCTATTAGTCATCTGTCCAGTGGATCTATAACCATGTTGTGCACGTAGAGCAAAGCGCTCGAGTGTGATACAATTTCACGATCCGATTCCTAAACAGGGAGATGTATGCGGGGGCACGGCGAATTTCCTTTTCAAGCTCGCGATGATATTGAATAATGCATTTCACACGGACTCGAAAGTTGGAACTGATGATTGGTGTTTCGCAGAAGGTGGTCAGGCCAGTCCTCCCTTGACCAGGGGAAGCCAAAAGTCAATCAGTCGCAGAACAAGACGGAAGCCTCATTCTTAGAAGCGAGAGGAGCTTCCCACCGACAGGGAAGAATCGGCCGCCAGGGAAAGGAGCTGACCACCGATGTAGAACAGGCGTGCTTTGGGCCTCATGGCATGCAGCGGAGAAAAGCTTTGACGCACACGATCGGCTGTGAGGTTGGCTGTGTTTCGCGCTAGGCTGGTGAACACGAACTGTGGCTGCATTGCTGCCGGTCAAGCTTCTCTGCCTCGTGCCAAGAGCATCGACAAATAACTGATATCTTGAGAGCGATGGCTGCAGATACGCCGAGTCCCTCGTTTCGATCTCCAGAAGGTCCCGAGCAGCAAAACCTTTGAGAATGAAGCTTCCCCAACTCTCCGTTCTGTCAAGCTTCTGCGCACTGCTGACGCTGCTTGGTAGCGGCGCTGCCAATTCAGAAGAGGCACCACATGCCCGGCATCTCTCTCCTGTGCCGTGGCATCCATCAAAAGAGCCCTCACGGTTGTTGAAATGGACCACCGACCCGCAACATGCCTGGTGGGACAAAGCGCTCTTCAAGCGGGACGACACACCATCGCAGGCAAGCCCGGTCACCCTGCCCACGAAATGTCAATACGTTGCCGCGAACACCCAGTCCGCGTGTGGTACCGGCTGTATCTGCGGCACGTCGTGCACCTCCATCTACATATGGAACCAGTCGCGGCCGGAGCCAAGGCCGCAGTATCACATCTGCACCAACTGGAACCTGAACCACGGCTACCAGCTCCGCGCGGGTTTCCAGGAGGCCGGCTTTGCGATCGTGCCCAACCGGACCCAATGTGGATGGCAGAAATTCGAGGGCGTCACCGCGCTGCGCGTTGGGCGGGGAAGCATCGACGTGAACGGCACGGAGGAGCAGCCTTTCGGCGACCCTTACGAGCTGGCGAGGATTGAGCAGGTGATGCGGGAAGAATACCCCTTTGTCGAGATTATCATCATTTGCGCTACGCTGGTTGGTCCGATTTTCATGTTTGCAGGTATTGGTGGATGGTGTATCTGGGCTCAGAAGGATAGAACGGTGAAGTACAGAAGACTGCCAACCGCTTGATACCCGAAGCAGGCCACGAACGGCGACATATTGCGACTTGAATCGACTTGTACAAAGCAGCGTTTTAGATTTTATTTTACGTGGACATGACTTTGTACCAGCGCAGACGCGCTTCCATAGAATTTAGGCCTAGAGAGCTAAGCGGGAGACTGAAATTCGTTCATCATTTGCACATGAGCCGCCTTTTAGACAACGAAGTCCTTGTTTGCATCAATGCTGCTTATCCGAAATAGCGCTAGCATACGTAACACAACAAAAAAAAAAAAATGCACAAATTTGTGCTCTAAACACGAAAGAAGATATCCAAATCATCCATTCGACCATGCAAAAACACCCATCAGGACGAGATCAGACCAGGTGTCGACTTTTGTACCTCCTTGACTTCGGAATCAAAACTCCTCTAGAATATCTGTTTGCCCACAAGGCCGTGATGAAGAAGAGAAGACTGCAAACATCATTAGTCGACATAAGACTTGCTTCGAGAGCCAAACGTACGATTCAATAAAAACCAACACGGTGAGCCCTTTTGCGAAACGGTCGTATCTACCGGTCCAATGATTGTTTTTGGCTTCGACAAATATTGAGATTAGAATGCCTGTCCAACACGCAAAGGCCGTAGACTCCACAACGAACACAAAGTTGTGATTTTCTGCCCGTTTGTTGGTGAACTGGCCGTAGCTGTTCTGTGTTCTCGTGCAAATCGATCCCAGGGTCGCACCAAAGGTTAGCAGATCCTGAAAAATTTGTTAGCCGTGGCAAGAATAAGCACACCAACCACATAGTCGATACTTGCCAGAGTGATGGTGAAGATCCACCTCAGGGAGTGGTTGCTAGCCTTTGAAGTCCATGGCATGAATTGCCCCGTGCAAGCGAGGGGTAGGATAACTATTGAGATGACCCACTGCACAAGTCGCATTGTGGTTCCCTGAGCACGGAAAAAATTATACTTGTTAGAGCATGGCAAACAAAGATTGTCCGGGTACCTGTAGGACGATTGACTCGGCAGCCTCTCTAGAACGCCACATTCGGAGCAAAACATCCAGACTTGATTTCCAGTTTTTAGACTAAGACCGGGAAGATATTGTCTGGTAAGAAAGCCGCACCTGATGCAGTTGCGGTTGGTGTCCGCATTGTACAACGCGGTTCTGTAGTAGCCGATCGGTGGTGAGCTGAGATAGTACTTTCCGGCGACGTCGTAGAATTCGACCTTTGGCTTCAGCTTGAGGCAATGGTAGCATGGAAGTTTGTCTCCGGGCATGCTGTAGTTTTGCTCCATGACGCGGAAGATCTCGACCTGCGCAGCTCTACTCTCCTCCATCACGTCGGAATTGATGAAAAAGTTGAAGTACCGACATGTCCGCTTCAGCTGGACGACGTCCTCGTACTCGAGAGTCGAGATGATCTGTAGTTGTAGCTCGGCCGGGATCTTGGCCAGACTGGAGTCTCTACTGAGAGAGACGAGTTCGGCCGCTTTGACGTGACGCAGCATGCGCGGCTTGAGCTTCCATCTGGACTTTCCAGCAGCACTGCTTTCGCGACCGCGAGCGGCGAAGTCCCTAACTCGTTCTTTCAAAGACATTGTTCCTTGGCGGACGCCACGATGGGAGCAAGCAGGGACGAGAGAATCAAAAGACGTCGAAACCAGTCTTTGGTGGAGATGAGAGGCGTGGAAATAACATCGAGAGGTCGTCTGTCTCTCGCCATCGAATCCGCCTTGCATCGAGTCAAACAGGAACTAGCAGAGCCAGGTTGATGGGGAGGCTATGCAGCTCAACCCACCTTCGTATCACACGAAGCATGGTTCGCGGCCTCAGAATCGGCGCGCGTGGGCGGCAAGCGTGGGCAGTGAAACTACATCGACTTGAGCAGAGACCTATTTCGACCTATAAGGTCGTGTTACATGGCCAACTGACGCCGTCGGGCAGGTTGACCGGAGACGCAGGTGCGTCGCTGTGAGGAGCCGAGAAGGGATCCCGTCTTGCAGCAGACGCCTTTTGGCTCGTGCGGCCTTGCAGCCCGGCTGGTGAGGCTTGGTCAATCCTCGCGATCATTCGACATCGTTAAGCCTTCGTGATTCACTTATGGCGATGCTCCTCGGCTATCGGTACCCCTGTGGAAGAAAAAACACCGGTAGAGTCATGGTGAGAAGACGCTTCGTCCAAAGCTGTGGGGGCAGGTGTTCTTTGCGCGCCTTTGAGGAGGGTCCACAACGAGGCCAGCTGCCATGCTGCTGCAGCACACCGAGATTCTGAGCCCCACTCTAGCAAGCCATGGCTCCTTCACGAGAAAGCGGAGAAAGAATGTACCGCTCGTTTTGCCGTTCTCCTTCGTAGACATCTTTTCCCAATGGGTTTACGAAAGAGATGGGCCAGACTGAGCCGGTATGGCCAATGACATCTGCTCTGGGCGAGATGCTCCCTGCACAGTCGAACTAGGCCGAAAATAGTAGTTCCGAGTGCAAGGAGGTATCGTAGTTCACGCGCGAGCGCTAGGTCGGACGAAGAAGATGTACCACCAGTCGATCCAACAGTCCGACGGGCAGGTTCATCCAAGGACGCGACGAGCAGCGCAGAAAGCTGAAGGAGAGGCATGCTGTGGATCTTACGAAGCAGATCTTAAACCATCGCACATCGACGTCGTCTTGGACGCCACATTGGCAGCAGTAGGAGAATATCCATGAAGGAAATGAGTCGCGATGAGCGATGCTTTTCAACGTACATTACAGTAACATTCCCGGGGTATCATCTTTTCGTGTCCTCATCTCCTCCAGTCGTGACTCGTCTCGACTTTTTTTAACCTCTCAAACCATCGGCCCCCTCACCATTGCCCGCGCTACCGCTTAATCTGGCACACAGACTCAAAAACACGACCGTCTCCGTAGCGGCCAGGTAGTTCAAAGTATCTAGCAAGATCTTTAGATGCCGCGTGAAATTATCCTCAAACTTCTGCAGCAAGTCTTCCAACTTGTCCAACTTGCTTGGGTCGTACGATGATGCACTTGCAGTCTTCGTCGCTGGCGTCCGTGCGCCTTTGGAATATGCAGAATCGGAAGAGAGATCGGGATCGGATTGAGCGAGATACCTCGAAAACGGGGCGGTATAGTTTGCGAAATGAGTGCAGGTTTGCAAGATGCGGGAGTTGAGCTAGAACTGCCGATTAGCTTACTCCGGAAATTGGAAAGTGCAGGCGTCAAGGGAATGCTTAGATACCTTCAGTAATTTAGAGTTAGTAAGCATGCACTCTTTCAAACACGTCGCCAGGAAGTCGATATGATCCTGCATCAGCTCATCAACTGTGCGCTTAACACAACTAGTTGATGCATCATCGACCCCAGAGACAGCTGCCGGAGGAATTGTGCGACTGTTCATCTCCACAGAGGTGGGCACGTCTGACTTTCCTGAGCTGAGAGTTGAATCCTGGCCCTGATTCAACCTCTCCATCAAGTTGACCCAGTTCGGTTCAATGACCTCCGTCGTGCAATAGTAAATCATTTGTTGTACGAAGCTCAGCATCCGTGACCTCAACGCACATGCCCTCTTCTTAGCTCGTTCAACCCTCCCGTTGCTGGATTTATGTCGCCAACTTGGTCCGCGGCTCTGTTCCGCCCACGAAGAGATAAGAAGAGTCTCCAAATAGCGGAGAGAGAGTAGATATCGGAAAAGGAGTTGGTATCTTGTTAGCGTCACACGCGAAACTACGAGAGACAGTGGGAAGGGAACCATGTAGTCGAGAACCAGTGTTTCGAAGCCGGAGATCTTAGACGTGTCTTTTTCGGTAGTTGCGGGAGCTGCAGGCGTGTATGCTGCCGCGATTCCACCTGCCGCCGTATCTGTATCAAGACCGGTAACATTGACGATTTTCATGAGCCAGTCCGTCAGAAGCGTCTCGTTCATGACGACTTTGACGTCGTCCTTGTAAGGATCATCTGCCGCCACGGAACCTGGCTGTCGGAGCACGATATCCAGCAGAGATTGCAGTTTTGAAGTATTTACATCACGAACGGGCTTCTTAAGCTCTGAGGTGCCGAGTTCAAGGAAGTAAGTGAACCAATCTGCGCGGTCGAGGAAGAAGTAGTGTTTGAGAGAACGCAATCGCGTCGGTAGAGCGTGTGTGGTCAGAAGCAGCTCGAGAAGCGAAGAGTTTGCAAAAGCGTACGCAGAGTGTACATTCTCTAAGAAACGAGGATCGTCCACTGTTCGCGGCGCGTCCTCAACTCCGGAGCTCAAATCGATACCCCCACACTCGCGGACAACGTTGAGATATTTTCCGGCGAGGAGAACCTTTTCTTTGACAGCCTCGAGCTGAGGCGGCACAAGTCCTTCGCGAATGGTATATCGCTTCTCCCAGTACTCGTCCGTATAGTCTTGATCGAGACGCTCTCGCTTAATGCTCTTCTGCTCCTTGATCAGGAATTCCGCGTGAGGGTCTCGAATGCCGCCGTGGTGAAGCCATTCGTTCAGCATGACCATATACGGCTTGCTGGATTCTCGAAGCAGTGACGAAAGCAAGGCTTTAGCCTGCGGATCTCCAGACATCGAAGCTAGCCGTCGAGTGATTAGACCAAGGGTGCTGCCTCCTTTGCAAGTCTTCTTTGTGGATAATCCTGGTTGACCTCCGTCCTTGAGAGCCTCAAGTATGTTTTCGAGGTCATCAGACTCGCCATCCAGATCGTCGTTCTCGTCTTCTAGGACGGCGTTTGCCTTTAGCAGTTCGATGGCTAAATTGTACAGCTGGAACATCATGTGGGCCGCTTGCTTGGTCTGCATATTCAGGACGTGCAGAGTCAGCGAGTCCGTCGTCAAGAATTGATTTTCCAGCTGCACCACCAGGCCGAGGTAGCTCTGCAGCAGCCGCCGAATCGCAGCGCACAGAGCGTGATTCACGGTCCCGTATTCTTCTCTGCTCAGGACGTCTACAAATGCCTCGACTGCGATGTAATACTTGGGAATGCGCAGCATAGACAGCGTGAGGTCGCGTAGGCTGGGGTCTAGGCCTCCATCAATTCTGAACGAAGGACCTAGCAATCGATCGGTTTCGGAGAGGGGATCAAATGTGTCTTCATATCGAATATACAGGCCCTCGCAGCCCATGAAGACATATAAAAGGTCCTCCACGACGGCCTTCTCCTGCTGTTCCAGCGTCAACTGTGCCAGTTGTTTTGGCCGCACCGTCAGAGGCGTGGATTTCGCCAGAGGTGGTACCGATATTCGCGTCGCAAGTGGTGCGGTCGTGTGTGGTATTATCGATGCTTGCGGATTCCATGACCCTATATTTCACAGATCAACTCGAGTTCGTTCGTACTGCTGCATCGCCAACCGCACCGATTGCTTCCGCCTTCGGCGTTTTCGAATCAGTTCCCTCGCCTGAACTGAGAGGGGCTTCCGCCGTCTCATGCTTCCGTTGCCCGTTGACGCGGGTTTCCGATGCATGCTTTAGCGGTGAACGCGTCCTGACTGTAATTGTTTCACGTGTGACGCGTGAAGTACGTTCCGTTCTGCGGTCTAACGTGGAGTATGAATTCTTTTGTTTACGCGACGAAGTCGAGGTTTTCCTATCTGTCGCCGAGGAGCCCGAGTGGTTGTGAGATGCGGAAGCCATTCTGGCAAAGCATTTGTGACGTCAAATTGCGCCCGGATCTGAAGCCCGTACAGAGCAAACCGTCTTGCTGTAAAATCATGGGACGGGCAAGCAATGCAGTGGGGCTATCACGTGATATTGACTCCAGAGGGATACACAGCCTGCAAAATGATTGGTTCGGAGAACTCGTTTCTCGATTCGATCATGACTTTTATACAGGGCATTCATCACAAACAGCCTGATAATTCTCCTCATTTTGTATCCTTACTCCGCTTATTCTTACCCTCTCATAGTCATTTTCTCACCCCAATGGCAAGCACACGTCTGTTCAAATCCTCCATTCGACCCAGAACGTATGGTGCCTTCGTACTCGGTTCTGGGCTGTTTTTTTGCGCGTACCACGTCTACTCATCACACTCGCCGCCGAAAGCGCGGCATCTCAATCCGTCAACTTTCACTCCTTACACACTCGTATCTAGAGATCCAGTGTCTAGCTCAAACGCGGTATTTCATCTTCGTCCGCAGAACAGTGACCCTCTGAACGCAGAGGCCATGAGACTGGCCTCCAAGACGGGCATATGGAGCGTTCAATTCAAGCAGCCGCAACTGCAGATTGCGAGGAACTACACGCCGCTTCCAAACGTCGACGGCTTGGTGGCTGATGACGAGCTTCGACTTTTGATCCGCAGAGAGGAAGGCGGTGAGGTCTCGAATTATCTGCACGACCTGCCCGAACGATCCACGATTTCTGTGCGTGGGCCGTTTCAGGAATGCGACATCCCGTCTGGTGTGACTGATGTTCTGTTTCTTGCTGGAGGTACTGGGATTGCGCCAGCGCTGCAGGTTGCGAGGCTGATTGGAGAGCGAGCGAATCTGAAAATGCACATTCTGTGGGCTAATCGAACCAGGGAGGAGTGCGAGGGCGGAATCAGTGACTCCTACAGCTCCTCGGACAGCGGATGGAGCGGGTGGCTTGGGGCAGTCAGAAATGCCCCACACGACAAGCAACTGGGTGTTGGCCGTGAGCGGGGACAAATTGTCCAGCTTCTTGACTCTTTGAAGTCGCAAGGGAAACAAGGCCAGCTTCTGGTGGATTATTTCGTGGACGAGGAGAAGAAATTTATCACGCCTAATGATGTGTCCCAGGCCCTAGTCCGTCGCGGCTCTGGGCGGGCCCTCATTCTAATCTCTGGCCCGGATGGATTTGTCGATTATTGGGCAGGAAGGAAAGAGTGGGCAGGCGGCCGTGAGGTCCAGGGCGCGCTCGGGGGTAAGCTGAAAGAGATGAACTTGAAAGGATGGAAGGTGATCAAAATATGAAGGCACTTGAGGATGGATGGCTGTCAAGTTTCCACGAAGTGGTTTTTTGCATTATAATTCCTACGGACACCACCTACCAGAAGCATGATTTGGGGAGGTGGCTATCTGAGCGGCTATACCTTCATGCTTGGATGTCATCTTCCTTTGAGGGTATGTTTGGAAGTCCATCCCCCACGAACTCGGCAGCGATCTGTCCGAGAGCAACACGACGCGATGTGCTGTTCGGGTCTAAGTACGGCCGTTCGCCCAGACCGACGGCACGGTTGCCGAACCGTTCTCCTTCGAGGTCGTAGTCGAACGTCGCGGTGTGGAATACTGATCTGTTATCCCAGATTGCTGTTGGGCATCTGCGTCAGAATCTCATGCTGGAGTGTGACCCTAAGAAGAAGAGAAAGAAGACGCACCAATGTCGTTTACATTTTTCCACTTGAACCGCACCTGCAAGTCATGGTTCTTATACACAAGATCCAGAAACCAGTCCAGGAGCCTTTGGCTTTCTTCTTGCGTCAAACCGTTGATATGTTTGACGTGTCCACCAACTGGGAAGATGCTCTTCCAACCGGTCACTGGGTTCGTCCGAACAACTGGATGAATGGCCTTCAGCTCGGAACCAACGTTCTCTGGAGCTCCACGCGGCTTGTCGTACACTTCAAAGCCGGAGCGTTTGGCGATCTCATTGAAACCTGGCTGCGCAAATGTAGCCGTCAATGTTTCCAGGAACTTCTGGTATGGCTCTGATATGCGGTCGTAAATCTCGTAGCCAGATGCCCAGAGAGTATCGCCCCCCGTCCGAGGCAGTTGCGTGAGTCGCAAGCTAGTGTAGTCGGCGGGGACGGGTTCGAATGCAATGTCCGAGTGCCACTGAGCGGTGGCTTGCTTTTTGGGGCTCAGCTCCTCTGGGCCGGGCTTCCGGTAGAACTTCTTGTGCTGCACAGAGGAGATGGTAGATATTTCCGGGTCCGAACCGCCAAGTTCACGTTCAGAGTTGAGGATTGGGTGGATATGTAGGGTCGATGTCGATGGCTTGCCCGTCAGTTGGCCTAGACGATGAATAAGCGCCTTCTGGATGTCGTTTGTTAGGTTGTCTTGCGCGCGGAAGAACACCACACCACGCTCAGAGATCTTGATGGCCAAGTCTCGGAGGAGGGTGTCCGCGTTGGGCGAATTTATGAAATCCACTAGGTTTGCCGTTGGATATTCCGTTCCAATGACTGGCGTGATGTCAATGGACTCATACGCATCAAGCGAACCCGAATACTTGAGGGGCGTCGGATATTGCTGCTTAGCCTGTACTGGGAGAGCCTTGGACTCAGAATCAACGGCTATCGGAGCCATCGTCAGAGCACTTGATGCGGGGGAGCTTCGTCACGGGATTGTGCTTTTTTGTAATGCTTGAAAAGTACCTGACACGGAATAAAGAAAGCCGGATCTATCTCTTCGCACTTGTGTTTGCCATCTGACCTCAACTCAGTCGTATTCATATACACCCATCTGGTCACGGTCTATCTTTGACAGCCGGATAAGACGGCATATTGCGTGTGATGATGCCATGGAGCTGCAAGGTGCATTGGTCTTTGGCCATGAACTCGTGATGAAGAGGCGTGGCATATTTGCACGCGGTGCAACGACGCGAGGCATGGTTGCGTTGATCAAATCGAGTATGGTTAACTGGGGAAAACTTCGATGAGCACTGTTTGGAGAGTTCTTGCAGCATATCGCGTGCTGACCCTTGTCGAATTGCTCATTTGCTTGGCATCAACATCTTGAAGCCTTTCCACATTTGAAAGTGCCAGTCAAGTCAATCACGGTCCGGATTCTTCTGTCGAGCGAACTTTATCCGTCCGAGGGTCTTTTGGTGGCGAGATTCGCGTGTTTGAAGTCATTCGTGCCACTCGTAGGCACGAGCGTGAGCAAACCCCCCAAGCGACTTCGTGTCGCACACGCTTTCTGAGCGGAAGCTTTGACAGCACCTAAGAAAGCAGCGATCGCCAAAATAAACGGCTAGAATGCACAGAGATTGCGATCTCGGAAAGTTAAGAGCCAGTTTCATACGCTTTCGTGGTGTGTTTGGGAGCAGGCATGGCAAAGACGGACGACACGATAACGTGTCGAAAAGACATCCTGGGTCCTGCCAATGATGAGAGCTAATGGGAAGCAGCCCCTTCCGCGATACCACCTCCCTCTCTGATCGCAAACTACAAAATCGCTAGCGCAGTCGGCACTTTCGGCTTCTTGTGCGTCGAGGTTCCCCGCTCAAGGAGGCTCCAAACGGCTCGACATGGATAGTTGCGTATTCGCAGACCTGGGTTCAAGATAACGACGTCCTTTCTCTATTCTAGTTCTCGTCTGAAACTGTTGCCGGGTTTCCCGTTTCGAGACGTCAGCTTGTGCCCGTTCGTCTATGAGGACCATGAGCTCAGCCTTCCCTCGGTCGCTGGGTGAACTGCGTTTGCCCCTAGTCGATGCCTTATCCAGCATTCATGCCTCCAGGTTGCTTCACGGATTTAGCATCAAATATTCATGTCTTTAAGGTTGATTTTTATGCATGACGGCCTTTCTGCTGTTCTCGTGCCTGATGTTGTCGGATGAAGCTTGTGTCCGCCTTACCTTCCACAACAAACTGGTGACAAACGGGACTTCATGATGGGCAAGCAGGAGAACGTTGTGAGACAGAAAAAAATAATAATTGAAAAATGAAAGGCACGGCGAAGCCTCTCCCTGAAAGAGAAATTTGTTTTTGGCATTTCAAGTGCAATCGACGGTAGATCCAACAAAGTCGAAAAAGGGTAAAAAAAAAAAAAAAAAAAAAAAAGATAATGTCAAACCATAAACAAAGAGAGAAAGAGCGAAATTCCCGCGCACAATCCAACTTAGTGATCAAAGCAATGCAAAACGCTCCCAAAAGGGGCGAAACGGGCAGGCTCCGAGTCTCCCGCACCCAAAAATCCTACAGCTTTGCGCGCTCCTTCTTCGCCCTCTCTCTCAGGTCGCGGCGTAGGATCTTACCGACGGCGTTGCGCGGGATGCTGTCGACGAAGACGACGCCACCGCGCAGCTGCTTGTAGGGCGCCAGCTTGTCCCGGACCAGGTTCTTGACGTCGTCCTCGGAGAGCTTGGACCTGTCGGTGGCGACGACGTAGGCGCGCGGCACTTCCGTGTCCTCGCCGGGCACGCCGATCACGGCCGCGTCCTCGATCAGCGGGTGGGACAGCAGGAAGCCCTCGAGCTCGGCGGGGGCGACCTGGATGCCCTTGTACTTGATGAGCTCCTTCTTGCGGTCGGTGACGTACCACAGCCCGTTCTCGCGTCGCTGCAGGATGTCGCCGGAGCGGTACCAGCCGTCGACGAAGGCCTCCTTGGTGGCCTCGGGATTGCGGTAGTAGCCTTTTGTCGTCGTCGGGCCCTTGACCCACAGCTCGCCGGGCTCGCCCTCCGGCACGTCGTTATCATTCTCGTCCACGAGCCGGACCATGGTATTTGGGTGAAGAACGCCCACGCTGCCTGTGGTGTCCACCATGCCGCGAGGCAGAGTACACACGCTGCCGGTGGTCTCGCTCATGCCGTACGTGCCGACGATCTGGCCGCCGAATCGCTCGCCTGCGCTTTTCTGCAGCGCGCCGTCCATGGGCGCCGCGCCGCCGGCGCCTCCCTCCAGCGTGGCGAATTGATCGGTGACGTCGGGCGACTTGGCGATGCGTGCCCAAATGGCAGGCACGGTGAAGAAGGCGGTGATCTTGTGCTCTTTGTTGTACTGAAGGAACTTCTTCCACTCGTACTTCTTCATCCAGTAACACTCCGTGCCGGAGTACATGGGGGCCACGAAGTAGCCGGCGACGCCGGCGATGTGCGCCGCTGGCAGGTGGGCAAGCGTCCTCATGGGAGACGTGGGTGGTTGCAACTCGCCAGACAGCATGCGTGGGATGGCCCATTCTCGAGCGACCTGGGACGAGATCCAAACCTGGGACACCATCATCGTGTGAGAGAGCATGACGGCTGTTTACATGTCGTCGAAGAATTCGACGTCACGTTAGCTATCCGATTCAAAGGTAGGAGAAAGGGAAGCAAGGCTCAAGCATACCTTTGGGCACGCCGGTGGTCCCGGACGAGTACAGGAGATTGATGATGCTGTTCTCCAGCTCGTGCTGGTCGGTGATGCGCTCCCAGGTGAGCCTCTGGTCCGTCCAGTGATCCTTACCCAGGACAGACTTGAGGCTCCAATTTCGATGCTCGCTGTCCAGCACGAGGACGCGATCGAGCGGAAGGCCGTACAGCTTGGCAGCTTGGACAGCGACATCCTTGAGGTCGGCGCTGCAGACGAGAAGTTTGGCTTGGCCCTGGTCTAGCTGGCGCGCCAGCTCGGCGGCCGTGAAGGAGTGGCTCGCGCATGAAAAGATGCCGCCGGCCGCGATGGTGCCGTAAAACGCGACGGGAAGCAGGATCTGGCCCGTGGAGAAGCCGACGACGACGTCGGCGTTGCGGCCGCCGGCGCCGATGCCAAACCCGTGCCGGAAGGCGTGCGCAAAGTTCTCCGTCAGTGTGCGCGCGTGCGCCTTGGTCACGTAGTTGGCCGTGTTGGCGGCGTCGATGTGGATGCGCCCGTCCTCCTGCGCCAACGCATGCGGGTTCGGGTCTGCGCAGCGACGCCCAAAGCCATGTCAGCCTTTGCCTCCTTCACCCTTCGCGAATCCCTCGGCCGCGTACAACTTTTCTGAGGGGAGAGGCGGAAAGAAGAGTTTGTCGGATGGAAAGAGAAAGAGGAGACGGGAGGGGCGGGGGCGCAAGGAAGATGACTTTTGTCCAACGCTGTAGAGGGGTGTACGTACCGAACAGCAGCGAGAGCAGATCCACCTGCGGATAGAAGTAGTATCTATCACCGTAGTATATCTTCGGCGGCATCGTGAAGAAAGGAAGGATGGGAAAACAAGAAAGGAAAAGAAGAAGCAGAAGTAGACAGCAGGTCCAGTGTCTCTCCCTCTATCTCTCTCTCTATCTCTCTCTCTCTTTGTCTTTCTCCTCCTCTCTCAGTCTTTTTTTTTTCTTTCCCTCTCTTCTTCTTGCCTTCTTTTCCTTAAATCTCCACGTCCGTCCGTTTCCACAGTCGAAGACCAAAAACAGCTCTACGTCTCCGCCTGATCGAACTCTTTCTTTCTTTCTTTCTTCTTTTTCCTCTTTCTTTGCTTCTTCTCCACCTTCTCCGCAGAACCTAAACCCCCCCTCCCCCAAAGAGAAACACAGCCGGGCGTGGGGCACCCCCCAGGGCGAGGAGGGGGAGGGGGGGAGGAGAGGCCTGTGAAGCGCAGAGTAGCGACGCCGCGTCCTGTGTCGGCGGGGAGGGAGGCTCCCCTCCGGCGTTCCTCGGCTTAATCGCCATGATGGCACCCCCCCCAACCCTGCGGCGACGACTCAGCTGTGCCAGGTCAGACGACACCTGTTGGTTCTTTTCATTTCATTCATTCTCTTTTTAAGTCCTAATCCTCACTCGCGACGCATGTCTTCGTTCTCTTCTTTCCTCAGCCCCCTTCTTCTCCCTTCCGTGGATTTTTTTTTATTTTTTTTCTTGTTTTAATAAAAAAAGGGGAAGGATTGCTTTTGCCTTCTTTCTCTTGGTGAGGAGAGAGCGAGGAAGGGAGAAGCGACGTGCACTTCGTGGAGATGTGGCGCGAGGAGGAGGAGACGAAGACACCGCCGGTGCCGACACGAGGCCGCGGATCCTGCTGGACCCGGTTGCTTTCGAACGGTCAGAGGCGAACCAAGAAGGCAGGCAACGGGAGGACATGTGCCTACACACAGTATAAAAAGCACCGCTGGGGTCACGAGAAAGTGGACGCATATAATCTCCAAGAACCAAAAAAAAACCCCTTGCGCATTTCATCTACATGAGAAGCCCTTCCAAAGCTGCCCGTGAATTTCCCCGCATTACAGGACTCCCGTAGGAGACCGCTACGGTCAGCGCACGCATCAGATGCGTCCAAGTGGATACATGTATATGTGAACGAAAATATAGAGTGCCCTCCAAAAAAAAAGGACCAAGAAAAATAATATGGGCGGAAGATTCAACCGTTCGTTCCCCCATTTAGGTACTCGCGTTTTCTCCAAGCTGGCCTTAATGCAGAAAGAACCCAAAGTTCCAAAAAACAAAAACACCCCAGGTGCATCAACGAGAGCTAGAGAAGGATGAAGCGAAGAGGAAACCAAACACGGCTGCCGTGAGACGGGAAAGCTTATATATCAGAAGGGGAAAAGGACGTCGTGATTCGCGTAGATAAAAAAACTCCCCAATGCCCAGAAAGTAAGGGAGAGGGCGGTGAGTTTTCCACTCAAGAGTGGTGGGATCATTGCTCGTCGTACGAAACGACGAATGCAAACTCGATCTTGCCAGATAAACATATCCCGTCCAAGACGGGGCATGTCGCTGGCTGAAGTGTGTCTCGCCGTCCTCGTCATTGGCTTGTTCATCCCCTCCCTTGTTATTTTGACTCGTACAAGTAGTTCGTCGATAGATTTGCGGGGCCGCTCAATCTCGATGTACTTCCATCTCAGCTGTTTTCCCCAACTTTGCTGACCGAGAGCGTGGTCCATCTTTCTTCCCTTTTGCCTGCGTGCACGTTTCGCTTCGTAGCTGCACTCGTTCTTCGTCTGTCGTAAAGACTGACCTTTTCTCGCGAATCTTCCCTCGAGCATCACAAGCGCCTGGATTACATTTCCTCCTTCTTTTGCGTGGAGACAATAACAGTTCGTCAAGCGTTGTATCCAGCGTTTAAGCCTGGGGCACAGAAAAGTGTAGAGCGGTGGGGTATATCTGAAATTCGCCGTCCAAGTCCAGATGGTCCGTTATATCGTCCTGTCTCGTCTCGTCTCGTCTCATCGCATGCATCAAAGTCCAATCGAACCACCTTTCTTTAATTTTTCACGAATGCCAAAGATCCCATGCCCGACTCACAAGCGACAAAAACTCCTCTTTCTTCTGCAAAGTGCTTCTCGGACTATCCCTGCCCTCGCCAAATGGTGCACTCCTCCTCGTGGCCGTCGGTCCGCGACCCAGCGGCGGCGTTCCGTTGTCACGCTCGTACTCATCTCTGTCTCTCCTTCGCGAGCTTCCGCTGCGGTGTAGGTCTGTGTGTGGGCCTGAATTACTGACACCCAAGCCGACGTTCTTCGGTGATGGGGGCGTTGGTGGCTGGTGTCCGCCGTAATGCACTAGGCGTGGAAGAAGATCCTCCCTACCTCCTGTCAGCTCCTTCAAGGCCTCCTCAGCCGATTTGTGTTCCCTGGGTCGAGAAACGAGGCCGGTGGGAGGGAATTGCGCAGTGTGCGGAGGATAGCTGGGACTTGGTAGGGGCGGTTGGTTCTGCGAGGAGCTACCCGGCGACTGGTAATGTGGACCGCGGCCTGTGCTGGACTGCTGTTGAACCTCCGGGAAAACGTCCGCGATTGGAGGAAGGCGGTTCGAGGTCTGGTTGGCGGGTGCGTGCATGTTCACGAGACGGGAGGAGCCGTTGATGCCGTCGCGGCTTGAGGCGTGCATGTTGTGCCGCGGGAAGGACGCGTGCAGCGGGGCTGACTGGATAACCCGCTCGTTGGCAAAAGCTTCGGCGGGAGGGGCTGCGATAGAGAGACCCGGCGGCGGCCCTTTTCTCCTCGAAGTTGCCGGTGTCTTGGTAGGGCGGCCGAACGCATTCTCGCTGTCACCGGGGCCATTGGCAGCGCCCGTCTTTCCCTTCTGCCGATCCTCGATGAGCCGCCGTTGTTGCTCGCGAATATTCATCGCACGCTCCATCTGCTCACGCATCGTCGGGTCCTGGGTGTTGAAACCTGGTGACAAGCACGCAACGCCAATGTCATGCAGATGCAGGCCGGCGCTGTCCCTCGATGTAAGAGGACCGGCGGAGGGGCGTGCCGAGAGGGCGCCAGCAGGGGCTGCGGCGCCATTGGTCATGTTCGATGAGGCAAGGTTGAGCCGGGTGGGTCGGTGCCGGCTCGTCGGCAGGTCTGGGGATGTGGGCTCTTTCTTGACGACGACCTTGGGGATCTGGCGGTTGCTGGAGAGAGGGCATATTAGCATTGGAGCATTTGAGACGACTGTGCCAAAGGAGAAAGCAGAGAGAACTATTGCGGGTATGCCTTTTCGCGCACCTTCCCGCCGCGCACGCGTAACCCTGTGAGCATGGTTTGGAACAAGAAAACGCACACGTAGGGGCTTAACTCGCACTCGATCCTTCCAACACTTGAAATGATGGGCAGCTGTGGGCGCAAGGTCCTTTTTTTTTAAAGGTCGGAGGGTGGTGCACTCACCTGCTAGCCGACTGGGGCGACCGTTTGCCGTCCGAAGTGGTCCTACGAAGCTGTGGTTCATGTCTCGTCGGTGGGCTGTGGCTGTTTGTGCTCTTCGAGCTGGCTGTTCGCTGTGGCGTGGACGTGTTGCCCGCTGTCGAAGCCGCGATGCTGGCAAAGGACTTGTTGGCACTGCTCGACTGTTCCATGACGGTTGCGGGAGGGGCCAGAGGCGCAGTCGCTGGCAACGCAGCGACTGCTGTAGTCATTCTATGCGATGTGGCGATGATTTTATGCCGTGGTGCGGGTTGCGGTGTTGGGGAGAAGTCGCTCGGTCTCCTCCGTCGTCCCCTGTCCTCTGGACTGAACAACAATGGGGTTGCTTAACAACTGTTTGTGCGTGCGTGTTGACGGTGGAAGACGTGATGGTGGCGATGCAAGGTTGTTTGGCCGTCAGCGAAGCGTTTGTCCGCGCGTGGCCTGTCGTTGGCCGGCGTGATGAAGTGTGAGCCTTGGTTTCCCGGAAAAGGATTGGAAGGCAAGCCAAGGCAGGAATTGTTCTGCGCCGCTGCGCAGAAAGGGCACGTTTCGAATGGTGCAAGGAACGCTTCGATTCGACAGCGTGCGTCGTCTGGTCCGCTTCGGCAAAAAGCGTGCAGGATGCAAGTCCACAGCTCTAAGCGCGGGAGGGGTCAGTGGGACGGGCGGTGGACGGAGAAGCGCAGGCAAACCGGTGCTCTGCTTGCAAGGGAACGACGGGCTGTCCCTTTGGCAGACGACGACGACGGGCGGTACAAGCGCAGGCGGGCCGGCGAGGGAGTGGTGGCGGTTGCGAGGAGGAATGGGGTCGCCGTGCACGCTCTGGCTGTGTCTCTCGCGCTTAAAAGCCTTGGGCGGGTTGGCGGGCAAAGGGTCTTGCTGCGTGGGTGGACCGCCCCGGGGGGTGAGTAGTGCGTGCGTGGGTGCGTACGTGCGTGTGCGTGAGCGCGCACAACTCGGCGGCTGCAGCGAGCTGAGTCTCGGGCAAGCAGCAGTAGCGCAGGGAGCGTGGCCCAGGCGGGACAGGGCGAGGGTGCGAGAGTGGAAGTATGCAGCAGGAGGACGGTGCAGAGACGTTGTGACGGACGGCCGCCCGGGGCTGGCGCTTGCAGAGAATGAGGGTGCCAAAGAGCGGGCAGGAAGCGCACGAGAGAAAGGGAAAAAGGAAGAAGAGCAGAAGGAGAGACGAGGTAAAATGCTGGGAGCAGCGCGAGAATGGCGAATGGGGATTGATTGGAGGGGCCAGAGGGAAATGGAACAGGAGGATAAGGACAGGACGGGCTTAGGTTTGGGACACGAGGGGGGTGCAGCAGCGGGCAGCACCAGCACCAGCTCCCGCTCCCGCTCGCAGCACCAGCAGCCGTCGCAGAGTCGCTCTAGCTGGCGTCACGGCCGTCAGACCAGCGCCAGCCGGACGCGCAGGACCAGACGAGACGAGACCAGGCGAGACGAGACAAGACACGACAAGACAAAGGCCTGGCCGGGGCCCGGGTTGGGCGGCGGCGGGCAAATGATAGGAGCGCGCAGCGACAGGGGGGCGCGTCTCAGCGACGCTCCTGAGTGCGCAGCCGACGACGGGGACGGGCGATGGCTGGCGTGACGAGACGATGCGAGACAAGACGAGACAGCGCCAGACGTCCGATCGCGAGGGGGCGCGCACATCACACACCGTCGTGCCTGGCTCCGGCCGGGCGTTTGCGAGCAGCCGGACGAGGAGGATTCAGGCGACCGTGTGTTGGGGCTGTCGGTGGGTAGAGAGAGCAGACATCCTGAGCCGCGCAACGGCGACGGCGACACGACTTCGAGACGTCGGACGATCCAAACGGCCCCACCGCCGCCGTGAAAAGGATCGCGCACGACGGCGAGAGGGCGAGCGAAGACGATCTGGCGTGGATGCTCAGATTCCACGACTGGAGCACGCCCGCTGCTCCGCGTCACTGTCAGCGCCGGCCCCAAGGCGTGCCGCAACGCGCACAACGGGGCTCTACGCACTCACGTGCGCACGCAGGACACACGGAACAGGAGCGACACACGGCGGCCACGCATGGGTCCGCTCTCTCGAAGCGCGCCGAAACGCCGGCTCCGCATCTCTTCCTCGCTGTCCGCTGCCGGACCTGGATCGAAGTGGGGTTTGGTGCGGAGGACGACACGGCGTGCGGCCAACGGCAGGACTCCAGGCCGCGACGACGACGACGACGACGACGACGACGGACGGCGGCGGCGGCGGCAAAGAATGACGCCAACCAAAACCCCGGCGGGAAAAATCAGCGCGTTCGCCCTCCGTCTCGCGCAGGACAGCAGCGTCACAAGGCCTCCTTTCCCGCGGGGCGTGGGCGCCAGCAAAGGCCAGTCGCGACAGTCTGTGTCCTGGCCGTCCTTCACGGCGATGCACGAGGGAAATCGATCCACGGTGAGACGCTGGATTCAGACCGCAGAGCCCGGTGGAGCGAAAAAGAATGGCGGCAACCTTTGTGCCGGACCTGCCCTCGCTGCCGTGGCGCCCGCTTCATGCTCTCGACGCCCGCCGTCGCTTGCGTGCCCGTCCGTGACTGTTTTTTTTCCTTTTTGTCTTCACTGTCTTTTCTTTCTTGGTCTTCTCCGGACCATGTTCCTGTCCATCCTACGCTCCTGTGGCGAGGCTTCAGGCCTTGCTTTCTGCTGCTTGCTCGGGCCTTTGGCTCCTCGTCTCTCTCTCTCTTCTCCACCACGACGCCTTTTTCCGTCGCTCACCGCGCGCCAATAGGCCGCCCTGCCGTCCGTGTGCCGGCTCTCTCTCTTCGTGTGATTCTCCGGTCCTGCACTGTCTATGGCCGTGATGGTGCGCCCGCCGCCAATAGTCGGCCGCCGAACGTTGCCATGCTCTCCATTCCTATGATGCGCCAGCAAATAGCCGGCCGTCTCAGAAACAAGACCGTCCTGCTCCCTCGTTTTCTCGCTGCCGCCCCGCGACGCTGCACCGGCCCCGCGCCATGCGTGCCGTATCTTCCATCTTCAATTTTCTTCGCAAGAAAGACGCAAATCAAAATAAAATTCTCGCTACACAAACTGCCCGCGCCGTTGGATCTGGGCCAGCTCTGTGCCTCCCCCAAGCCTGGCCCTCGCGCCCGCCCATCAAGCTGCTGCCCAGATTTCGTTGCCCTCGCGTTTCTCGTGCCCGCGGGATTCGTTTACGAACAGGCCCCTGCGGCCGTCCAAAGAAGGGAGGTGCCAGCGAAGAGAGCGAGCGAAGAGGAGGTAAGAAAGGCACGTCAGAATGCAGACGCAGACCAGACGCATTACTCGAAACGCGCCCGGCCATGCCAGCTACGCGGTGGCCACACGTCGTTCAAGCGCCCAATCACCGCGCGCCCGCTCGTGCTGGGCCCCGTTCGTCGGGTCCCGCCACGGCCGCCGCGTAACAGACGGCGTGCAGGGCGGGCGCCCGATGGAACCCAACCACCCAGGCAGCTCCAGGGCCCGATCGCTTGTCTGCGACGGCTAGCGTTTGAGATCCGCATCCCGGCCGACGCTGCGTTGCCCGTTCCAGCGAGCCCCGTTCGCTGCCGCTGCCCGATGCGGAAAAGCGCCCTCCAACCCCCAGCCGGCTTGGCCTGAGTCATGAAACAAAGCGACGAACGTCCATTCATCCCCTCTGCTTCTACCGCAAGAGCAGAAGCCACTGCCTACTGCGACGATGCTGCTGCCGCGTGCATGCAAATCCCGCACAGTTTGCCCGGCCTGTCGATCCATGGCAGACGCCCGTGGCCCGACCGTCGTCTGCTTTCCGCGCCAGAGCCCGGCGCTCTCTCGCCCGACCCGGTCGCGGCGGCTCGTGCAAGCCGCTGCTTAGAAATGCCAGAGCCGTCGTGCACGAGAGGAATTGGTGAGAATCGAGACTGGCTTGGTGGACCGAAGGCAAACGACAAAGGGTGAAAGACATAGCGAACAAAGGGAAATGTTGATGTGCAGAGGCACGCCCGTTGGGTAGACGCCACCCGTTGCTTCGGAGCCCTATCAGCTTTGCGCGCTTGCGCTCGCTAGTTCGTCCCTGTGCATGCAACTTTTGCCTTTCTTTTCTTTTTTTCCGCGCTTCACAATCTCGTCTGAGGCCCTGCTCGCAACTCTGTGCGCCGGGGTAACGACGGCTTCAGTTTTGGGCATTTTGTGTGGTTGATTTTCGCGACACCAAGACGGAAAGAGAAGGATGACGGGCGCAAAGTGCAAGAGAAACGCTCAATGGCTGCTTTTTTTTTTTTTGTTTCTTTTGCCTCAACCATCCCTCCCCTCTGGAGCTCCTCCTTGTCACGGTCCGGGCGTGGCCAATCAGCTTCCAATTCATGCTCCTTCTCTCTGCCAAACCAACGCATTCGCTGGCTTGAGAACCACCTTTTCGTCTGCTGTTCTTCCCTTCCCCCAAGTCGCCCCTGTGCTCGGTCGGTCTTCGACAGTAGAACTTCGCTGCAGATACCCTCCGACTGATCTCTTTTTTTCAACGGTCATGTCTTTCGTGGAATTAAAAAAAAAAAAGAACAAACAAAAAAGTCCTGTTGAAAACCGAACGGGGAGCAATACGAGAAAATAATTACCAACCAAACGTCAGACGGAGAATTTTGGATCTCTTTGTTTCAAATGGCTGACGCCCGCACAACCGTTACCCTTGGTGCTAATGGCCTCCGTCCAGGAATTGTAGGCTGCTCACAGGTTTTCTTGTCGCGAGTGGTCGCATCGCACGGCCAAGACACCACCTCAGAGAGCTCGAGCTATCGAGATCGAACCGAGGACGGGTGGATTGGTTGACTATTACCTGCCCCACAAGATGACCACCGTTGTGCATTTTTTTTACTTTTGGTGGGGAGGGAGTTGGGCTTAAGTTATTTATTGATTCCTATAATTATCGTACAATCGTGTGACGGCTATGTGATTGGTCCTGCACGACTTGCAGACCCATCGTTCTGAACATGTTCTTTCTGCGTGGAAGTCCAGCCACTCTATTGGACCAACAACGCGGAACGGGGAGCCTAAGCAGCAACAGAGAAATCCGCCCAGCGCCCAGCTGGTTGGGCCAAAGCCAAAGAAAGAGCAGAAAGACAGAGGCGAGAGGGCAAAGGAGGGCCCATAAGCGCTTACCGATCCTGCCGCCACGGCCATTGTTTTTTTTTTTTTCAATTTTTTTTTTTTGCTCCGACATCATTCTTTCGCCAGGATCGTTTCAGGAAAATTAAAGAAAGGATTCTTTATACTTTTTTTTTCGCCCTGGCGAAGTTCGCAGAGCGGAGACGCCACAATGCGGTCCTCTTCATCATTGCGTCTGATTCGACGAGGGTTCCCGATGGGCGTCGAGCGGCAATGGTGTCAAAAATGACAATGGCTGAACCGGCATGGCGGCTTCGGGCGCCACCGTCGATTGGTCTCTTGTTGTTTTGTCCGGGTAAGACCCCTTGACTCCAATCCCTCCAGCAGCCCTTGCCCGCGTCGCAAGATGAAATAATCGACTTTTATGCTTGCTGGGAAGGGGGGGGACTTCTATTCCGACGGTGTATCCAGCGCCCTCGTTGTTGAGCGACGGGCCACAGAAAGATCACGGGGCTTGCGGCATTTGACCGGACGTTGGGCCTAGTCTCAGCCTTTTGGCTTGTCGTTTCCTTGTTCACTACTGAGTCGTCTCGCAAGCTCTTCCCGTGCCGTGTGCTGGTTTGCTCACTGCTCATTTTCTTTTGCGTTGTATGTCTGACGACACCATGCGTCAGATCTTCCCGATCCTAAGCCTTCTCTCATCCTTCCTACTACTACTACTACTCGACAATCACCATCTTTCGCTGTCCACATGTCTCGCATCCTCGACACTGCCCCCCCTGCGCCTTCGAAAACTCTGGCAACACCAACCTGTAAGCTGTCTCACTGCCTGCCCCAGCCGCCGTATAATCGCTTCAAAACAAGCTCGCAAAACAGCATTTCACCGTCCTCCTCCCCGCACACAAAAGCCAACCCCCGCGCCAGACCGTCGAGCAGGACGGGTGAGCACGCGGCAAGGCAGCAAATTCGTTCTCAAGACTGGGTGAAAAAAAAAAGTTTTCATTTTATTGTAGTTCCCGTCCTCGCAGTCTGGGCAGAGGAAAGCCACAAAGGACCCCAGGCAAACCCCAGATGGACGATCGCAGAATCAGCCACTTTTCATGCGAGATGAGGTGGCCCCACTCGGATTCATGCTATTCAGTACTGTACCATGGTGCAGAGGTACACACGTACCAAAGTCAAA